GTCAAATGGAACGTTCATTGACAGCATTAGTGTCTTCTGTAGGTTTTATATGAATTAATCCCTAATCCCTATGATCTCAGAATAAATACAAGATTTCTATTGTTTTAGCCACTGTGACCTTGACCCTTGACCTTCGACCCCCCAATGCAATAGGCTCCTTAGGATTGCCAAGGACAATCCACAAACCAAATTTGAAGTTCATATGTAAAGTATATCTCAAGTTATCACGCTGACAAAATTTCTTTTGTTTTTGCCACTGTGACCTTGACCCTTGACCTTTTGGCCCCAAATGCAAAAGGCTTCTTAGGATTGCCAAGGACAATCCACAAACCAAATTTGAAGTTCATATGTAAAGTATATCTCCAGTTATCGCGCTGACAAAATTTCTATTGTTTCAGCCACTGTGACCTTGACCCTTGACCTTTCGGCCCCAAATGCAATAGGCTTCTTAGGATTACCAAGAACAATACACAAACCAAATTTGAAGTTCATATGTAAAGTATTTCTCAAGTTATCGCGCTGACAAAATTTCTTTTGTTTTAGTCACTGTGACCTTGACCCTTTACCTTTCGGCCCCAAATGCAAAAGGCTTCTTAGAATTGCCAAGGACAATCCACAAACCAAATTTGAAGTTCAAATGTAAAGTATTTCTCAAGTTATCGCGCTGACAAAGTTTCTATTGTTTCAGCCACTGTGACCTTGACCCTTGACCTTTCGGCCCCAAATGCAAAAGGCTTCTTAGGATTACCAAGGACAATCCACAAACCAAATTTGAAGTTCATATGTTAAGTATTTCTCAAGTTATCGCGCTGACAAGATTTGTCCGGACACACACACCCACACACACACCCACCCACCCACCCACACACCCACCCACCCACGGAAGGACAAGGCGGAAACAGTATGCCCCTTCGGCTTCGCCGCGGGGCATAAAAAAGTAAATATGTAGAAATGAACAGATGAAAACGTAAAAATACGGAGGATGGCCTACAATTATGAGATGAATTTGAATGAAATTTATATAACATTGATTGCAAAATGACGGAATTGATTCACCTATCGCACGTTCAGCAATTGCAGACGACGAAATTAAATTGTCTTTCACGAAAAAAGTATGGCGAAAATGAGCGACCAAAGACGAAATTAAAAATGATGTATGCAGGATCATGAATTTTCAAGACGAAATACGAAAATTAAACAAAGCGCGTTCAGAGCGATTCTCAATTTCAGACGAAAATGATTGACCGATTTTCAGAAGTTATTGAACATTTCAGGAAATTGGCCGGGAAAACCTACATTAAACAAATACGATGGACATATTATTTAACATTTTAATTAACATTAGATTGATAAGATCAATGATGACTGGAAAGAAGCTGGAGTATCTCTGCGATAGAATCTGTTTGCTACGAGTGTTAAATTAATCGGGAAAACCAATACATTTCATGTGGAAATTCAATGAAGTTGAAATCGTTGTTTTTCAATGTTTTTGAATACAACCTGCCAGTAACGTGTACAGCAACGCCAGTTGCAGAGAGTTCTCGACGAACGATCCGGCAATGACCGCTGCACTCATCATCACGCCACACGTCATCATGACGTAACCAGCCCCAAAGCGCCTGCTCACTAATCCTCCGAAAGGAGCTGTGGAGACGTACAATATTTGATTTTGAGTTGATCAAAGGATGGAACATTCTTGTTTCTAGATGCAAATGGAGTTGGATAACAATTAAGTGGGATAACAGTTAAGTAGGATACCATACAGTGAAAATTATGTTTGGCTATATTGCGTTTTGGGCACAATGATGATGTCTGTAGTAAATTAAAAGTAATATTATCAACTTGTCATAATAGTAAATTATGTTGTGACCAGACAACCGAAGAAATAATAATGATCGTGCAGTTTACTCTCCGCACGTATATCAGTTCACACAATTTCAACATTTTATGTGTATTTAATTTTAAAATAATGACTGTAAAATAGAATGAAAATGGTATTGCTGAAGGGACCCATTTGAAACTGATGCATGGAGAAAATTAAAATCATAATTATATTTTTAAAGTATCATATTCACATGTAGTCTGGGTTGGTTTACAACCAACGATTATTACATTTAAAAAGTGGCTTACAGTCATGCAGATGAGTAATTGATATACGCATGAAAACGCTCAGTCAATTTTAATACATTACAACAGCCATGCATGCGCTTCTTCGCAACGCCATAAATATAATACACACAGTTGAATTAAATTGCAGTTTAGAAAAATACTGTCAGTGTTACCTACTAATCCACTTGTTGCGGTTGTCAGTGACGCTATCCAGCCGATAATCCACATTTGGGAGGTCAGTTGGATTTGCAAAGTCGGCAGCATTATCCCGAGACCTTTGGTAATGCCGGTCACCATGAGGTTTCTGGTCCAGAGCGCGAGGACCGCTACCCAGCCGGGTCTTCCGCCGTCCGGCCCCTCCAGACTGTTGCTCACCGCCCCGCTCATAGTTCGGGGACTATTTTGGTGAAGGAACAGTGTGCGCGGTGGTTGCCTTTCTTGCTCAAAGGTTTTAGAAGGGGTACCGGGTGGGCATGGACATGATATATACATAACACATCTCGCAGTTATGTGACACCGCCATCACGTGAATATTATGTATGGAAATAACTTATGGGTGAGATAGTCCTACATCTAAATTGCCATGGGAGATTCAATAAGCGACATGTACGTGTACACCGTATGCAGCCTCAATAAATAGCGAACACCAGAAAATGCAAACCACCCATTGTCAAATTCCATTGAAGTAATTGAATCCGTGCTTAAACGCGGCTGTCAAGGCCGGTTGCACACTAGCCTTGTTCAATGCGGTCTCTCGGCTTTTTGTCGAAGGGAGATAATCGGGCCCTAGCACCCACAATCAACGCGGTTACGTGCGTGGATCACCGACCCTTGTCCGTGCGTGTACCACCGACCCTTGTCCGTACGAACGGTTCGGTACTAACACAACCAGCAAGCACACACACGTGAGTACGGACTGTACGCATGGTGTAATAAGACAGTAAATGTAGGCCTACTATGTTCTGCGTGTGGGTGTACGTACGTACGTGTGGGGGATATACGCGCCGCGTGGCCTGTCGAACGACCGCCTTGTTGGGTCTGCAACTTCCGGGTTTAATGTCTTTCTTTACTTTTTCGTCCAGTTTTGGAAAAAAATGGGCGGGCTTCAGGTATGCGGGTATGCCATGATGATTATGTAGGTTCGTCTTGGACCAATCACATGAAACAACCTTCCCAATAGTATGATTAATTCATTTTTAAGCTGACCAATCGTAAGCTTCACAAGAATATTGTGACGTCGCGCGGCATGCATAATGCATTAGTCATCATGGCGTCTTCCATGTCATTTTAGCGAGAGCGAAATGTTCGTCACTTTTTCAACAATTTGACATTAATTCGAGTTTTTCGGCTCGTGTAATGAATCCATTTGAGTGGACATTTACGCGGACTAGCTCATGCATGTACATGTACTTGTACATGTACATGTACATGTACTGTGTGTGCATGGCTGTTGTACGAGTACGTGTGTGATGTACGTGCGTACGTACATGTACATTGTACATGTACAAGCATAGCCTTGCTGTATGGTACAAGTTACTTTCTCACTAGCAGCGTACGGGCATCGATATGTGCACGCAATTATGCCTTGCCAAGTTGATTAGGGATTTTGTTATCGGCGATTTTTTTTTTTATCGGCGAATCGATAAGCCCGCAACGCCTTGGTCAAGGCTAGTTGCACACGCACACTGAGGCCAAGTTCGCGCAAGGACTATAGTTGACCCGAACTCTGTCTAGTCAACGGTGGTTGACTACGCTAGTCGACTATTTGGAACCAGCCTACTGGGGGTTGGTTGCTTCGCTGGTAACCAATAGCCGGTCACATTCATAACGCAAGCAGAGAGCCAGGATCCAGAAGTTTTGCGATGACATTTTGACCAGCGTTTGACCAGAGACGTTCACACATTCCGTTTTTTCTATTATGTCTGAGCCTTTTTGACTCTAGTTCTGCTTCGTACCAATACAGCCTTTGCTGCTCTGGCCAGTGGCGTAACAACTCCCCCCACCCAGCGGATGTCCGTGCCCCCCCCCCCCCGCTTAAAAAAAAATCTGCTAGATTTAACAAAAATGTGCTAAATCACCTTTTATTACTACACGAAATACATTATAAATATTCATACTCAAATGCAAATGTTATAAAAATGTCCTTATTTTATAACCAAAACAAGAATCATAAAATTTCCTTCAAAAAAAGTTTAATTTGATTTTTTTTTTAATTTGCACATGTCTAGCCTGTCTTGCAATGGTCTAAATTACTTTACTGTGTACTAATACACGTCAGGAAAAAAAAACAAAAAACTGAAGCTCTTTTTCAACATTAATCAGCTATAAGCCTATTTTTTTTCCAAATCTGCCATATTTTTCTGTCAGATCACCAATTTTACAGAAAATCAGCGAGAAATCCGCTGAAAAATTCATTCGGCTAAATTTTCTGTCAAACTCGTTTTTTTCCCCCGAAAATTCTGTCAAATTTAGTCGAGATTGGCTCACCCTGCGAACTTTCGTCCCCCAATAAAAAAAATGACCTTGCTAAGCCTCTGGCTCTTACAGTGAGAGTTGTTTGTGTGTGCATCCGGCCGTGACGTGACTCCGGCACGTTTTTGACTAGAGGTTTCCAAGATCATATTTCAATGGCATTCGACAATAGGTGGTTAGTATTTCCTGATATTCGCTATTGAGGCTGCATGTATTGATACACATGTCGCTGAATAGGCCTGCAACTAGCGCTCAGTAGGCCTAGGGCTAGCCCCATAAATGTGGCCAATTTACTGGACTACCTCCGTAAACATAGGCCACACTTCCACATGTATAGAAACGTGTCGAACTTTGTCAAATTTTGATTTTCACATTTAGGCTTAGTTTGTAGGTTTTTCTTGCTTTAGAAGCATACTCACCCTCTTTAACAGTTGCTGGAGCGCGCACCTTTAATGTTTACTATCCAATGACTGTATGGAATGTGGTTTCTACAAAATGTAATTTGAGCCACCCGACCCTCACAACCAGCCCATTCACCCCTGATTTACCTCTGGCATGTCTGGAGTATCTCTCAGGCCCCAAACAGCCGTTAAAACCACAGACATAACCCCATTTGACATTCCATTTTGGTCACAGGGGTGATCGAAATAATCCCAATGTATATAGTGCATTTGTACACAAGCCTATGTAAATGTGCACAAGCACACAGGGTTTTCCCGCCAATTTTCAACCCCTCCAGTAGGATCACAAGACTGACACCCCCTCTGAAGGAGGTACTATGGTCCATACTACCCCCGGGTGTGTTTACCACGTGGCCAGGACAATATAAAACATAAAAATGTGTAGAGTCAATATTCCCTCCTGAATATGCTAATCAGAAAGTGCTGCCTTTTTTGCGAAGATCAAGATGCCTCAAACTTTTTACGCGACCGATAGGCATTCGGGCTATTTCGCAAACATGTATTATCTTCAAATCAGCAACGGCTTGTTTCATCCACTTTTTTTCAAAACAAATACAGGCAAACTTACGGAAACACTCATCATCCTAGTAATCTATCGATGATGATCTACCACCGGGATATATAGATGAATGATTTGTTATGGGCATGGTGCATTTTCATATATGGCAGACAAACGTCGCCTGCACCGTCGCGCAAACGTGCGATGCGCTTGGCAGCAATAGGATCTTTTAGACGTAATTATATAGGGCCTACTGTTTAAGCTTGTACTGTACTTGCTAAGGCCAGATTAAAACTACAATACAATGATGAGGATGAGATTGCCGTGATAATGCATTTCAGTCCTTGAAGGTTGGAGGGGGACAATATTTCCTAAGAAGGCTTAGGATTAATCGCGACCTTTGACGATATTGTTTTCGGTGTATTCTTTCACGTGCAATTTGCAGGTTGTTTTTCTATTTGTAATTTTTTTTCTTTTAGTCCCACTAATCAACCTCGTCCGCAGTGCTTACTTTATTTCCAACCTCGTTTCCAATAGTGAGCTCTGGATAGGAAACTTTCCCCCCATATCCTGATTCGATACCGCATTTTGCTAGTAATGGATTTTTACCGTGTAATTGGTGTTGTTATATCCAACGTGCATTACGTGTTTACATGATCATTGTAATTAAAACATCCACGCCTTCTCAAAAATACTCCTTTCCTTTCAAGTTTGCTTTTATTAACCTGAAATGTTATACTGCAAATTGGCGGGCCAGAAAATACCATTTTAACTTAAAAGAAGAAGAAGTGTTTTCATGACTTACAGCGCGACGAATTGATGTTGTTTTTACCCCAGACACCGCATACAAAAACAAACGCTAATGTAACGCACGTGTAGGCACCAGACTATTTCTCATTTGCATACGTGTTCAAAAATCTTGCTCATGCAAATGATCCAATACCAGGGTGAGAGAGCAGGTATTCTTACATAAAAATATTCATAAAACCTAAAGGAAACATGCAGTGGAAATTCAGCTCATCTTGTTTTCATGCACATTACTACATACAAGATATTAATACTTGTTTTCATTGGAAGTGACAAGAAAGTGGTAGTTTTTAAATTATTAGTAAATCCTTTCATCAATATACAAGAGGGCGCTATTTTGCTTTTGTCACACAAGGTACTCCTTGCCAAAGGTGCGTTATGAACAGTACAAAAATTAGTCCTTCAAAATTACCCACAAACAATTTTTTTGAAGAAATATTTGCCACTACGATTGTCCAAATAAGCTGTTTTACATGATAAATAATAAAAAGTGGAATTTACTCCAAGAAAATGAAGAAAACTTTGATATACATTTGTATACACAAAGCTATGGAGACACTACGATTCTGCCTTGAATGACATCACGCTTTGGCTCATGAATATGGAAATTTTTATTAGCATAAAAACTTTGAAACTTAAAATGTTGAAATTTCTCTCTTTTACTGCTACCAAGAAGGTGGAAACTTCATAGTTACATGGCAAGAAAGCTGTTTTAAATGTATTTAAGTCATATAAATCCTATTACATGTTCCCGTTAACTGGACAGTGTTTCATAAAATAGTTGTCTACCCGACCACTCTGCGTTTGTAACAACAAACGCGAACCTCTAGTTATTTTTTCCCTGGTGATGTTGATGCATGTAGGTCTACATCGAGCTAATTAAAACTAATAACCAAATAGATAATTAGTATGATTTAAAGGCTGTGAAGGTGACAGCTGGCTAGGCGTCTGGCTGCAGATGTTTCCCTCGTAATTGTGGATCTTCGTTTGAATGAATTTTGTGCATACAGGATTTTCAAAAAAACAGTGTCCCATTTTGGGGCTTCGACAAGAGTGAGGGCCCCGTCCCCCCCCCCCCCCAAGTAGGCGCCAGACTATTCCTAATTTGCATACGTGTTAAAAAAACTTGCACATGCAAATAATCCAATACCAGGGTGAGAGAGCAGGTAGTGGTGGGCGCGTACTGCTCGACACCCCGGGGACGAGGTTTGCCACGATTGGACCTTGGTGATAATGTGGCCTATATTTTCGAGTAGTATAATAGGGGTGTAAGTGGCGCCACCAACGTCAAAATAGTCCGCCCCCAAAAACAAAACCCCAATTTTTTTCTGCGGCCAAAAATTGTGGGCAAAATTGTTTGACAAAACTTTACCTTCTAAAAATGTTGAACAAAATATTGTGAGCCCCCCCCCCCTCCAAAAGCCATATCCTGGGTGCGCCACTGCCACGCTGCATTATCATACTCGGATGAATGTTGTTCACACGAGATATGGCAAGATTGCCACACCCATAGAAATCGCAACAACACCAGACACAAACCAAAAGGCATAAAGCCAGGAAAAGGCATAAAGCCAGGAAAAGGCATAAAGCCAGGATTGCGTGCAACTAATCTTTAATTGATCAAAGCACACTTGTTCAATGTACATTATGTCCTTATGCTTCTGTTTCAACTCCGATTGACTCACAGTCAATTATGAAACCCTCCAACGCAAAAACCTGTCCGAGGTTCTACCGTTGAGAATATCTTAGCATCAGCAAAGGCACCAGTGGTACAGCCTGCACGCTGCCTATCAGTAGAAAGGCTGCTGTGTAACTTCCGGTCAAGTCGTAAACCAAACCTTAAAACAGAGACAGAAGGTAAAATTGAAATCGGGAAGTCTCGTAGAATGGTTTGACATTGTTGATCTTTTATGCTATTGCATGGTGTGATGCACATTGCCAGTGATGCCACACAAGTAACACCATGAATTAAAGTACTTCCTTATAATTATTACTTGTATATTGAAACTACATACTAGACTACTCCATGCAGTGAAGAAACTGGCGTAAGGAAACGACACTCATTTATTAGGCTTATACGTACCAGGCAGAAATCCCAAAGTGACTAGTAATAGCGTCACCTTTAGCCCGATCCAGCCAAAAGCACCCGCCAATAGCTCGACACCAAGAACCTGCTTGATGAGAACATCCATCTGGCAGGACAAGACCCCGTCACTGAACAAAATCAGCACCGCTGACGTCATCATTGGCCAATAAGAAGTCAGCAAAGAGGAGGCAAGGTACGAGACGGAACTCATAGCGAGGCAAACGGCAACCAGAGTCCACGAGGACATCACTCCGCGGTCGGTGATCGGTCCCTGACTGATTTTACCAAACAGGTTCGCAATGCCCGCGATGGTCACGAAAGGAAAGACCCCGCCTCCTCCAAAGTGAATCCGTTGGACTGCGCCTGGGACACGAAATACACAATCCACATGAGGTACGCGTAGATCGTGCAGCAAGATATGACGGCCACCAACCAGTAGCGCGAATTGAGAAGTAGTCCCGCGTCGAAGTTCTTAGAGACGAACTTCCACAGCGAACCACAGTGAGAATGGAGAGTGCTCTCATGTGCTGATGACGAATTAGTGTGTTCGGTCTGGGGGAGCGTTTGGTATGCGTTTGACTGATCGAGCTCAGGCTGCCTCGTTGCTACCATAACGGCGCCACTCGCAACAGAATGCATGATGAGGGCTCCCACTAGTAACATGGTTCCTCTCCAGCCGTAGGTGTCTAAGAAAAGCTGGACCAGGGGCGCGAAGACGATCAGTCTCACGGAGGAGCCGGTCCGTGCGATGCCATTGGCTGTGGCGTAGTTCTTGGTAAAACAGCGTCCGACAGCCTCCTTTGCAACGACATTAGATATACCTTTGGCAGTACCTTCAAAGAAATAATATAAAAAAGTATACATCAAAGACAAGTTTTAGCAACGTGTATAGTTTTCCTCATCTGTTGTGAAGACATGGGTCCCCTACTTGATCTACGTTAATTGCCAAAAACAAGCAACTAATATCTCACATATACAAATGTCTCATTGTAACCCGATTATGTACATTGCTTTTTTCATAGGTTTTCTTGCACATTTTGAAACTTAATTTTGAAAATTAGTTTGCTTTCCATAATAAATAATTATAGGCCTACTTATTTCTTGCGTGAAATGGAAAATACGCAATTTCATTTGCCTGTGTATACCCTATTTCTTTCAGTTGTTGACGCATAAAATTGTCAAGGAACTAAATAAATATTGAAAAAGATTACAATTTTGCATAATAATTGTTACATGAAAAATGCATATTTAAGGTTTAAAGACCTATGTTACACAAGGAGACTAACAGACACAAAAAAAATAAAGTAAATATGTAGAAATGAACACGTAAAAATACGGAAGATGGCCTACAATTATGAGATGAATTTGAATGAAATTTATATAACATTGATTGCAAAATGACGGAATTGATTCAAATTGAATTGTCTTTCACGAAAAAGTATGGCGAAAATGAGCGACCAAAGACGAAATTGAAAATGATGTATGCAGGATCATGAATTTTCTAGACAAAATTGAGCGAAAATGAAACGCGTGTTCAGAGCGATTCTCAATTTCAGACGAACATGATTGACCGATTTTCAGAAGTGATGGAACATTTTAGGAAATTGGCCGGGAAAACCTATATTAAACAAATTCGATGGAAATATTATTTAACATTTTAGTTAACATTAGATTGATAAGCTCAATGATGACTGGAAAGAAGCTGGAGTATCTCTACGATAGAATCTGTTTGCTACGAGTGTTAAATTAATCGGGAAAACCGATACATTTCATGCGGAAATTCAATAAAGTTGAAATCGTTGTTTTTCAATGTTTTTGAATACAACCTGCCAGTAACGTGTACAGCAACGCCAGTTGCAGAGAGTTCTCGACGAACGATCCGGCAATGGCCGCTGCACCCATCATAACGCCACACGTCAGCATGACGTAACCAGCCCCAAAGCGCCTGCTCACTAATCCTCCGAAAGGAGCTGTGGAGAAGTAAAATATTTGATTTTGAGTTGATCAAAGATGGAACATCCTTGTTTCTAGATGCGAATGAAGTTGGATAACAATGAAGTAGGATAACAATGAAGTAGGATACCATACAGTGAAAATTATGTTTTGCTATACATTTGTATTGGGTTTTGGGCTCAATGATGATGTCTGTAGTAAATTAAGAGTAATATAATCAACTTGTCATAATAGTCAATTATGTTGTGACCAGACCACCGAAGAAATAATAATGATCGTGCAGTTTACTCTCCGCACGTATATCAATTCACACAATTTCAACATTTATGTGTATTTAATTTTAAAATAATGACTGTGAAATAAAATGAAAATGGTATTGCTGAAGGGACCCATTTAAAACCGATGCATGGAGAAAATTAAAATCATAATTATAATTATAATACTCGGTCGTCGAAACATAAATACACTCAAGTTAAATGTAAAACCACAGCTCTCCAACACAGCATTCGCTATCAAGGCTGCAAACTCTGGAACGGATTGCCATCTTTCATTTCTGAAGCGAAGTCTTTAACTGTTTTCAAAACATCACCTAGAAACTACTTGCAAGGAAATTGATTTTGTTTATTTTGTTTATTACTACTGTACCACTCTCACAGTGTTTACATTGTACATTGTTTTATACATACATTATTGTCTTTATTAAGCTAATGGAACATCTTAGGTTGGGGTGGGGTAGTTGGGTGTAACGGGAACACTTGGGATTTTCTCTCGGGGGGGGGTGGAGGGGGTTTAAAAGTGAGTGTTTCATAAGTCCTTGGACTTCTTACAACTTCCTTATAACTTCTCTGCTTTTCATTTATCTTTGTTACTTATCTTTGTCATTTACTTTTATGTTTTGTTTATCTATTAAGTTACGTAATCTATATGTTTTTTATTATGAAGTTATGAAATAAACAAGATTGATTGATTGATTGAATTATATTTTTAAAGTATCATATTCAAATGTAGTCTGGGTTTGCATTACAACCAACAATTATTACATATAAATAGTAGCTTACAGTCATGCAGATGAGTAATTGATATACGCATGAAAACGCTCAGTCAATTTTAATACAGTACAACAGCCATGCATGCGCTTCTTCGCAACGCCATAAATATAATACACACAGTTGAATTACATTGCAGTTTAGAAAAATATTATCAGTGTTACCTACGAATCCACCTGTTGCGGATGTCAGTGACGCTATCCAGCCGAGAATCCACATTTGGGAGGTCAGTTGGATTTGCAAAGTCGGCAGCATTATCCCGAGACCTTTGGTAATGCCGATCTCCATGAGGTTTCTGGTCCAGAGTGCGAGGACCGCTACCCAGCCGGGCCTTCCGCCGTCCGGCCCCTCCAGACTTTTGCTCACCGCCCCGCTCATAGTCCGGGGACTATTTTGGTGTAGCAACAGGGTGCATGGTGGTTGACTTTCTTGTTCAAAGGTTTTAGAAGGGGTACCGGGTGGGCATGGATGTGATATATACATAACACATCTCGCAGTTACGTGACACCGCCATCACGTGAATATTATGTATGGAAATAACTTATGAGTGAGATAGTACTACATCTAAATTGCCATGGGAGATTCAATAAGGTTGCAGACCAGTAAATAGGCCCCAAATTGCCTACGCCGGCCAGAACACGATTTGCATGCCCTCAAAATCTTCAGTATTTGAGAGCACTGTGGGCCATGAACTTGAGGGTTTGTAAAAAATATGGGTGGAAGCCGTGCACAGGACTGGGAGCTTGCAGTTGTGTGTAATTTGGATAAATTGGGACCTTCAAAGCGCTCTATTTTGCATTGGAGTGTAGCCATCGTTTTTCAAAATGGCGATGGGCTTCAGGACTATTTTTAGGGGTGATCATCTTTGGATGGAAATTTCTCCTAAAAGTCATCAGTTGACTCCCCAAAAATTGAAAAGAAAATGAAAGATGATGAAATAAGCTTTAATTTGATGTGTGTCTTGAACACCTTGGAGAGTTGTAGGTATGTTTCCCAAATTTCCGAAGTGGGAGCATTATCATTGGGGTCTATGGAAGTTTATTTACTGGTCTGCTACCCTAAGATTCATCAGGAATAGTTAGAATCTTTTGGCCTGGGAACCAGACTACGAAAAATGTTGATTATATTTTCCCCCGTGATGTTGATGCATGTAGGTCTACATCGAGTTAATTAACATTAATAACCGAATAGATAATTAGTATGATTTAAAGGCTGTGAAGGTAACAGATGGCTAGGCGTCTGGATGCAGATGTTTCCCTCGTAATTGTGGATCATGGTTTGAATGAATTTTGTGCATACTGGATTTAAAATAAAACCAGTGCCCCATTTTGGGGCGATGGCTTCGGAGAGAGTGAGGGCCCCGTCTCCCCCCCCCAAGAAATCCCTCGAGTTCGAGTCCAAAAGGGAGGCTTTTTAAAAGGTTACGAAAGTTAAGAGAAATTGAAGATCAAGATGCCTCAAAGTTTTATACGCGACCGATAGGCATTCGGGCTATTTCGCAAACATGTATTATCTTCAAATCAGCAACGGCTTGTTTCATACACTTTTTTTCAAAACAAATACAGGCAAGAGTACGGAAACACTCAACATCCTAGTAATCTATCGATGATGATTTACCACCGGGATATATAAATGAACGATTTGTTATGGGCATGGTGTATTTTCATATATGGCAGACAAACGTCGCCTGCACCGTAGCGCAAACGTGCAATGCGCTTGGCAGCAATAGGATCTTCTAGACGAAATTATATAGGGCCTACTGTTTAAGCTTGTACTGTACTTGCTAAGGCCAGATTGAAAATACAATACATTCAATGATGAAGATGAGATTGCAAGTGATGATAATGCATTCCAGTCCTTGAAGGTTGGAGGGGGACAATATTTCCTAAGAAGGCTTTGGATTAATCACGACTTTTGACGATATTGTTTTCGGTGTATTCTTTCAAGTGCAATTCTTGTATGTTGGTCCCATGCTGCAGTGTCGCACCCAAGGGGGGAGGCCTCGGGGGCTTGAGCCTCCACCCCCCAAAAGGTTGTCAATTTTTATTTTTTTTCTATTTGTATTTTTTTTCTTTAAGTCCCACTTTTCAATCTCGTCCCCAGCGCCTACTTTATTTCCAACCTTGTTTCCAATAATAAGCCCTGGATAGGAAACTCTCTTTTGTAATTAAAACATCCACGCCTTCTCAAAAATACTCCTTTCCTTATCAGTTTACTTTTATTAATCTGAAATGTAAATTGGCGGGCCAGATCGTAACATCTTAACTTAAAAAAATTGTGTTTTCATGACTTACGGCGCGACGAATTGATGTTGTTTTTACCCCAGACACCGCATAAAAAAACAAACGCTAATGTAACGCACGTGTAGGCGCCAGACTATTCCTCATTTGCATACGTGTTCAAAAATCTTGCACATGCAAATGATCCAATACCAGGGTGAGAGAGCAGGTAGTGGTGGGCACGTACTGCTCGACACCCTGGGGACGAGGTTGCCCACGATTGGACCTTGGTGATAAAGTTGCTTATTTTCGAGTAGTATAATAGGGGTGTAAGTGGCGCCACCAACGTCAAAATAGTTCCCCCCCCCCCCCCCAAGCCATCCTGGGTGCGCCACTGCCATGCTGCATTATCATAATCGGATGAATGTTGTTCACACGAGGTATGGCAAGATTGGCACACCCATAGAAATCGCAACAACACCAGACACAAACCAAAAGGCATAATGCCAGGAAAAGGCATACAGCCAGGAAAAGGCATAAAGCCAGGAAAAGGCATAAAGCCAGGATTGCGTACAACTAATCTTTAATTGATCAAAACACACTTATACAATGTACATTATGTCCTTATGCTTCTGTTTCAACTCCGATCGACTCACAGTCAATTATGAAACCCTCCAATGTAAAAAACTTTCCGAGGTTCTACCGTTGAGAATATCTTAGCATCAGCAAAGGCACCAGTGGTACAGCCTGCACGCTGCCTATCAGTAGAAAGGCTGCTGTGTAACTTCCGGTCAAGTCGTAAACCAAACCTTAAAACAGAGACAGAAGGTAAAATTGAAATCGGGAGAATGGTTTGACATTGTTGATCTTTTATGGTACTGCATGGTGTGATGCACATTGCCAGTGATGCCACACAAGTAACACCATGAATTAAAGTACTTCCTAATAATTATTACTTGTATGTTGAAACTACATACTAGACTACTCCATGCAGTAAAGAAAGTGGCGTAAGGAAACGACACTCATATGATTATTAGGCTTATACGTACCAGGCAGAAATCCCAAAGCGACTAATAATAGCGTCACCTTTAGCGCGATCCAGCCAAAAGCACCCGCCAATAGCTCGACACCAAGAACCTGCTTGACGAGAACATCCGTCTGGCAGGACAAGACCCCCTCGATGAACAAAATCAGCACCGCTGACGTCATCATTGCCCAATAAGAAGTCAGCAAAGAGGAGGCAAGGTACGAGACGGAACTCATAACGAGGCAAACGGCAACCAGAGTCCACGAGGACATCACTCCGCGGTCGGTGATCAGTCCCTGACTGATTGTACCAAACAGGTTCGCAATGCCCGCGATGGTCACGAAAGACCCCGCCTCCTCCAAAGTGAACCCGTTGGACTGCGCCTGGGACACGAAATACACAATCCACATGAGGTACGCGTAGATCGTGCAGCAAGATATGACGGCCACCAACCAGTAGTGCGAATTGAGAAGTAGTCCCACCTCGAAGTTCTTAGAGACGAACTTCCACAGCGAACCACAGTGAGAACGGAGAGTGCTCTCATGTGCTGATGACGAATTAGTGTGTTCGGTCTGGGGGAGCGTTTGGTATGCGTTTGACTGATCGAGCTCAGGCTGCCTCGTTGCTACCATAACGGCGCCACTCGCAACAAAATGCATGGTGATGGCTCCGACTAGTAACATGGTTCCTCTCCAGCCGTAGGTGTCTAAGAAAAGCTGGATCAGGGGCGCGAAGACGATCAGTCCCACGGAGAAGCCGGTCCGTGCGATGCCATTGGCTGTGGCGTAGTTCTTGGTAAAACAGCGTCCGACAGCCTCCTTTGCAACGACACTCGATATACCTATGGCAGTACCTTCAAAGATATAATATAAAAAGTATACATCAAAGACAAGTTTTGGCAATGTCTATAGTTTTCCTCATCTGTTGTGAAGACATGGGCCCTTTACTTGATCTACGTTAATTGCCAAAAACTAGAAACTAATATCTCACATATACAAATGTCTCATTGTAACCCCGATTATGTACATTGCTTTATACATAGGTTTTCGTGCACATTTTGAAACTTAATTCATTCCAATTCATAAACGGTTAACCTCAATTTCGTCTCCTGAAGACTGGAACGCGTTTGTCGTTGGTCTTTCCAATTGATCAATTTGAACATTTGTCCATTCGATGTCAAATTTCAATGAAATTCGTGTCACCTGATGACCATGTACATAATGTAAGGATTGAATTCGTCTTTGTTCAATCGATTTCAAGAAATGTTCGATCAAATTCATCAGACAATGCGCACGCTGGTATACCACACACAGACGTTTTTGGCAAGGTGTATTGCAAGACAATAAATTGTAGGTTTTAACAACCAATCCAAAGAACAAGAAGAAGAACTTGAATGACTGTTTTCGAAGATGTGAAAAATGAAAGAAGTTTGCTTTTCATAATAAATAATTATAGGCCTACTTATTTCTTGCATGATATGGAAAATACGCAATTTTATTTGACTGTGTATACCCTATTTCTTTCAGTTGTTGACACATAAAATTGTCAACGTACTAAATAATTATTGAAAAAGATTACAGTTTTGCATAATATTTGTTACATGAAAAAATGCTTATTTAAGGTTGAAAGACCTACGTTACACAAGGAGACTAACAGACACACAAAAAATAAAGTAAATATGTAGAAATGAACAGATGAAAACGTAAAAATACGGAGGATGGCCTTCAATTATGAGATGAATTTGAATGAAATTTATATAACATTGACTGCAAATTGACGGAACCGATTCATCTATCGCACGTTCAGCAATTGCAGACGACGAAATTGAATTGTCTTTCACGAAAAAGTATGGCGAAAATGAGCGGCGAAAATGAGCGGCCAAAGACGTAATTGAAAATGGGGTATGCAGGATCATGAATTTTCAAGACGAAATACGAAAATTAAACAGAGCGAGTTCAGAGCGATTCTCAATTTCAGACGAAAATGGTTGACCGATTTTCAGAAGTGATTGAACATTTTAGGAAATTGGCCGGGAAAACCTATATTAAACAAATTCGATGGAAATATTATTTAACATTTTAATTAACATTAGATTGATAAGCTCAATGATGACTGGAAAGAAGCTGGAGTATCTCTGCGATAGAATCTGTTTGCTACGAGTGTTAAATTAATCGGGAAAACCGATACATTTCATGTTGAAATTCAATGAAGTTGAAATCGTTGTTTTTCAATGTTTTTGAATACAACCTGCCAGTAACGTATACAGCAACGCCAGTTGCAGAGAGTTCTCGACGAACGATCCGGCAATGGCCGCTGCACTCATCATCACGCCACACGTCATCATGGCGTAACCAGCCCCAAAGCGCCTGCTCACTAATCCTCCGAAAGGAGCTGTGGAGACGTA